TCGGGCTCAACGGGTAAAGCACAATGAATCCATGTCTAGCTGGCAGCCGGCTTCAAGCGGAGTGTCCCAAGGGTCGGTCCTGGGACCGGTTTTGTTTAATATCTTTATTAATGATCTGGAGGATGGTGTGGACTGAACCCTCAGCAAGTTTGCAGATGACACTAAACTAGGAGGCGTAGTAGATACACTAGAGGGTAGGGATCGGATACAGAGGGACCTAGTCAAATTAGAGGATTGGGCCAAAAAAACCCTGATGGGGTTCAACAAGGACAAGTGCAGAGTCCTGCACTTAGGATGGAAGAATCCCATGCACTGCTACAGACTAGGGACCGAATGGCTAGGTAGCAGTTCTGCAGAAAAGGACCTAGGGGTCACAGTGGACAAGAAGCTGGATATGAGTCAACAGTGTGCTCTTGTTGCCAAGAAGGCTAACGGCATTTTGGGCTGTATAAGTAGGGGCATTTCCAGCAGATCGAGGAACGTGATCGTTCCCCTCTATTCAACATTGGTGAGGCCTCATCTGGAATACTGTGTCCAGTTTTGGGCCCCACACTACAAGAAGGATGTGGAAAAATTGGAAAGAGTCCAACGGAGGGCAACAAAAATGATTAGGGGTCTGGAGCACATGACTTATGAGGAGAGGCTGAGGGAACTGGGATTGTTTAGTCTCCAGAAGAGAAGAATGAGGGGGGATTTGATAGCTGCTTTCAACTACCTGAAGGGGGGTTCCAAAGAGGATGGAGCTTGGCTGTTCTCAGTGGTGGCAGATGACAGAACAAGGAGCAATGGTCTCAAGTTGCAGTGGGGGAGGTCCAGGTTGGATATTAGGAAACACTATTTCACTAGGAGAGTGGTGAAGCACTGGAATGCGTTACCTAGGGAGGTGGTGGAGTCTCCTTCCTTGGAGGTTTTTAAGGCCCGGCTTGACAAAGCCCTGGCTGGGATGATTTAGTTGGGAATTGGTCCTGCATTGAGCAGGGGGTTGGACCAGATGACCTCTTGAGGTCCCTTCCAACCCTGATATTCTATGATTCTATGATTATTCCAACAGAAGCCATGCAATACAATAGCAAACACATTAGTGTCATGTTGTTCTGAAATGGGTTGGTTTCACAATTATGCCACCGCCCTGTGGCTCCCCAGTATAATTACACTATAATTGGGGACCTAAAGTGTTTGTACTGCTGGTAACCTATTCCTATTATTTATATAATGCTCTGGATATGCATAACACTTTGCAGAAATGTAAGATGACAAAAGGCCCAGTTCTGCGCTTGCTTACACCAGTATAAATCCTGAGTGACTCTGCTGAGTCAATGAAGTTAAACTGGCATTAAACCAGCGTAAATAAAATGAGAACCAGGCCCACAGTTTCTGTCCCAAAGAGCTTACAATTTGGAAGGACAAAACACAAAATGGCAGTAGTGTAAAAGTAACACAATTAAGCATTTATGGTTTATTTAAGATTTTGCTGGGTCCGAGCTTTTCTTTTCATTTTTTTTAAATTACATTTCACATTCATGTTGTAACACAAACTATGTTTAAATCATGAAGAGGTGAGGCATGAGATGAGGCAGGGGTGGAGAGTGACTGGAAGGAGGCTAACAAGCTGTTCAAAGACTCTAAGCAATATGCTCAAATAAATTTGTTAGTCTCTAAGGTGCCACAAGTACGCCTGTTCTTTTCTCTAAGCAAGCTAGTAATCTGTTTGAAGGCTCTACAACTAAGACATAGGTCGACCTAGCTCCATCCAGTGCCAGGTTTACAATGGCACCAGTGGCGCCATGCCCATGCTCCGAAGGGGCCCCAGCCTGCTTTGCTTGTACTGTGCCCTGAGACCCCACCAGCCCACCGGCTCCCCCCACCCCGCCCACCACTTGCTCCTCTCAGCCTGCCTGCCGAGGGCTCCTCTTCATCCCCTGGCCCCACCCGCCGGCTTCTCTCTGACCCTGGAGAGACCCCAGTGCACCTCCAGCTCTGGGCAGTCTCTGCTTCCCAGCACCTGTGGGGCCCCACCTGTTTCCAGGAGCTGAGCCACCTGGGACTGGTGCAGAAGCCTGGCCAGTCTCAGCCAGTTACGGGGGGACAGTGTCGGGGGCTTGGCTGGGCCCCTCCAGGCAAGTGGATCCTGAGGGAGGCTGGCTGGGGCAGGCCCTGGCCTGGCTGATCACACCACCCCCGAGGGGCCAGAGCGATTCCCCCCCTGCCCCCCCCCCCCCGGGACCTGCACTGGCGGTTCAACCCACCAGACAGTCGCTTCCCAGCAGGGCCTCTGAGTGCGGCCAGGAGGCAGGGCATGGGGGGGGGGAGTGTCTGGAGGGCCAGGGGCGGGGTGCTGGGCTGTGAGGGGGTGGGGAAGATCTGTGTGTGCTGGGGCAGTAGGGAATGGGAGTGCTGGGCAGAGGTGGTGTTGTGCAGGGCGCTGTGCATTTGTGGCAGGGTCTGGGGGGGCGCTGGGCATAGTGGGTCCAGGGGGGCTCTGGCCACAGGGAAACGGAGGGCTGTTCCAGTGTTGAGTGGAGGGGCTCTGTGGCATGGCATGGGCCCACCCCCGAGGGGGAAGGGGCATGCTGGCAGCACAGGGCTGGGCAGGCCACTGTGCGTCTGGCAACTACCAGTTTGTAAATAGTGCCTTCGCACTGGGCTGGGCAGAGCAGGGCTGCCCCTGCCATGCCATGCCCCTGGCCAGCCGCTCACTCCAGGGACTGACCCCCCTGCACCATGCTCCATTGCCCCCAAGGGCGCCAGGCCCACAAAAGGTTAATCCGGCTCTGGCTACATCACTCAGGGATGTGCCTGTGCAACGTAGTTAGGTTGACCTACCCCTGACTGTAGATGCAGCTAGTTTGATGGAGGAATTCTTCTGTCAACCTAGCTACTGCCTCTCGGAGAGGTGGGTTACTTGCATTGATGGAAAAACCTCTTCCGTTGATATAGGCAGCAACTACACAGCAGGGCTACAGTGGCACAGCTGCAGTGATGTAGCAGTAGAGCTGGATCTCTGCTTTCACCAATCACTTGTTTAATTGAATGCATTTCTGTGTTTATAGGTGAGAGAAAAGATATCTTCTTTGCATGACAATTTTTGTGCTAGCAATGACCTTAAAAGGGGATTAAGGGAGATGTGTTGTAGCAGGCACAATAAATGACTAGTTCTGGTTAGGAACTTTATGCAGGGAGGTCTGTTGTATGGCTGCAGTCCTGTCAGTGTCTGTAATTGACAATGTAGACAAACCAGAAGTTACAAGAGGACCGAGTGCATTAAGAAAGAGGGAAGAATGTGTCCAATCCTCAAATAATGTAGGCCGTGTAGAATGTAGGTACTAAAAACATCTGTTTAGGTTCTGTATATTTCAGAATAATATTTAAAGGAAATATCATTCAAAGATTGTTCTGCAAATGTCCAGGCATACAGCAGACTGGGCAAGTTTATACACCTGTATCTGATCCACTTTGATTTAAACTGTATATTTGTAATCTATGGTTACTGCATGCAACTAACATGTCAACATTTAGTATAGTATTGATGACGGGGTGAATCCGTTCTGGTGTAGTACTTCCCGGCTCTCTGAGCTCTGGTCAAGTGTAGTAGTCTCTTGGTCTATCGAAGGCCGTGATCAAGCGTCTTGATGTTTTCGGTCTTTTGGCCTTTGTTTCTGGGACCTTGAAGTGAAAAAATTCTCTAAGTTATATTCTCTTCTTTTCAGTCCACAGAGGAATGGCCTGTGGTTAAGGTTGGGAGTTCTAGCTCTAGATCTCACACACACTTCTTGCATGACTTTATGCATGCTTCAGTAAGGTACTTCAAGCATGTGCCTAACTTTAAGCTTGTGAGTAGTCTCATTGTCTAAGATTTAAATAGCTAATGATTTGAGGTGTCTCAGTTTTGAACACCCAACTTGAAGCACCATAGAGGGGCCTGATTTTCAGAAGTTGATTGCTCAGCATTTTCTGAAAATCACACCTCTTTAAGGCATTTCAAGTTAAACACCCAATAGCTGAGGGTCCCATTATCACTAGACACTTAAATCTTGATAATTGACTTCAATAGAGCTACTCACTTGCTTAAAGTTAAGCACATACTTAAGTAACTAACTGAATCAGGGCTTTAGAGTCCAATTCTACTTTGAAACACAACTCTAAAAATTTGAGATTTCATGTTTATTGTTTCTCAGTCATTTCCAGTTCAAATGCCCTCAACGTATGAGTAAAAAGATGGGGGCTTTGTTTGGTGAGCTTGGTTGTTTTTGTTTTTAAACAGCAGCAAACTCCACTTGGAATCTGAGAGTCAATCTGCTATCTTCCCTCTCTCACATCATCAATAGCAATAAGGATTCTGCTCACTAACTAGGGTGACCAGATGTCCCGATTTTATAGGGACAGTCCCGATACTTGGGGCTTTTTCTTATATAGGCGCCTATTACCTCACCCCCACCCCATCCCGATTTTTCACATTTTCTATCTGGTCACCCTAGGTGATAAAGGAGTTTAGGCAAAATCAGTGCTACTTGGGTAACCACATTATGTTCACATTATTACACCTCAGTGATACCTGTGCAGCTTTATTATAGTTTAACTGACTTGCCCTTTAATCAGGGAGAAAGTGTATTGAATAAGACCATGCTATGTTTACATTACGACTTAAAAAAATGAATTAAGGCAAAGTTACAATAAAATTTTAACATACTACATTGTACATTACTTATAACTTATTCAGGATCAGGACAATATTCAGAGAACCTGGCTAAAGATTCCGACTTGCTGGCTGGGGAACCCTCCTTCTGAGTATGCTAGAAAGAGTGACCAAATTTCTAAATACCTATCCTCTTGTTGGCATTTCTCTAGTGTACATACTTGATGGGAAAGCTTTTCCATTGCATATTTTACTATACCACAATTCCACAAGAGGGATTATGCATTTCCAATAATGTACAATAAAAAGTCTAACAATAAAAAAGAAACTAATTTGTCCTTCTATTTAAAATATATTAAGTAAGCAAGTCAGGGGATCTCTTGGAAGCTGGCATTTTGTCATAAGAGGAATCTCTTTAATAATTTCCTCCCCAAACCATCTAATTCCTGGACACAACCACCACATGTGCACAACAAAGCCTGCCAACAAAGTACCTCCCTAGTAGCAAAAGTATGATGGAACTTACTTAACTGGAGTCAAATGCTATCTAGACAATAATTTATAAAAATAATTCTTTAGGGGCCACACAAATTATAGATGTATATCCCCTTTCCCACATAGAGACAAACTCATCCAGAACAATTTCTTTGTCCAAATCCATCTCCCATCTTTTCATCTGGGTTGTTTTCTTATCAATGTCCTTTTCAGTCAAAATTGTATGCATTTTAGAAATTAAATCTTTTGTTCCTGCTTGCTCCTGCGTCAACTCCTCAAATGTGATTAAAGGCCTAAATAGGGCCACCTAATATCCAGATTTCACAGCAAAATCTTTGACTTTTCAATATTGAAAATACGGGATCTTTATATTATTTACATTATTACATCTCTCTTGGTATAATTTCAAATCAGGACCCAAGAACAGCTGCCTGAATTGAGTAATCACAGCTCTTACCAACAACGAACAGTCACTTTGATATTTCCTAGGGATATTTTCCTCATTATTAATGAAAATAGCTAAGGGGAGGGCCTTGGCAGTAGAAATTTAGAAAATATGTCCAAAGCCACTAAGGTAGTCTGGATGAATGAGTGATATTTTATTTTTGGTGACCTACATTTCATTTTAACCCAATCATTATAAATATCTCCAGTCTTGTTCTCATTTTAGCCAATGTTTGCATGTTCAATTATTAACCCAACGGATCACATTTCTTATTGTGATGCATAATAATAAGCCAAATTAGGGAAAGCTAGTCCATGCCTCTTTGTAGGTTTATACAGAACGTTAGAACTCACCCTTTATCATTTGTTTCCATATGAATATTAATAGTGCATCCTGACACGTTTTTAATGTCATTTCAGGGATACCAACAGGGATGCATTGAAACAAAAATAATAACCTTGGGAGGACATTCATCTTTACCAAGGCTACCCTAACTAGCCAAGAAATTTCATATTTGTTCCATTCCTCCAAGTCTTTTATTATTTTATTCCACATTGGAGGGTAATTTGCCTTGATATTTATTCCTAAATATTTTACAGTCTTTTACCCATTTAAATTTATGTAGCTGACATTTTGAGGTCCCTTCAAAATGGCAAAGTAGTAGTAGTATTTTCTGATTCTTAACTGTGGATATTTCATTTCAAGCCCCCAAGTTACTGAAGAAAATCCATGCTGAGCTGTTCCCTGATTGTTCTGGAAATATTAAATTATGCTGTCAGTTCGGGGAAATTCATGAAGACTCCATCGTTACCTGGATTAAAGATTCAAAGTTACTAGCTCGAGTGAATCGAAGGTAAGGAGGGATCCTAACTGGCACTTCCCAAAATGTTTTGAGATTATCTTTTGTGGGAAAAAATTAAAGGGTCTAATGATAAACTCTTGGTGAGAGCACTGTAGTGCAATGACTGGGACAATAAAACAAACTGACTAAAACAAAGTAGTCAGAGTTTGCAGAGTGTATTAATAATATCAGACATTGTTTCCCTCCTTCAAGGTAGTTCCTGTCTGCTTGCTTTAGCTGTTTCATATCTCTTCCCATCAGACTGTGAACTACTGAACAAGATCATGCAAAGGTGAAATTCCAGCAGCTGGGCCGAAAGATATAAACAAGTCTGGCTAAGATATGAGAAACTGGGAGATATGAATCTCTAAGGCCTAATAAAAGCAGCTTCTTCGAGGAACAGGAGAGGTCACATCCTTTGAACTTTAAGTTCTGTTTTAAATGGCCCTTTAAACTGACAAGGGTTGGGTATGAGCGAAAATTATCTGACTCCTTAACCCAGCCAATTAAATTATATCAGGGTGACTGAGCAGCAGTGCACTGAGAAAAGTGGAAAATGAAAGTTTTATCTATTCAGGAGAGTTAGGCACCTAGCCTCTTTTGAAAATCCCACTAAGCACATGTAGGCACCTAAATACCTTTACAAATATGGACCTTAGTCCCCAAAGACTTTCAGTGATACTTAGGGCTCCTTAGTACTAACGTGAGTTTTGAAAACGGAACTTCGGAGCCTAAGTCACATGGGCACTTTTGGAATTTTTACTCCCTCTTCCCGTCTCTTCAGCCCTTTCATTGTGCCCTTTCAATCCACTCCTCCAGTCTGTGGGGTACATTTACACTGCAGTAAAAGACCCGCAGTACAGCTGCAGCTGGCCCAGGACAGCTGACTGAGGCTTGCATGGCACCAGCTGTGGAGCTATAAAATTGCAGTGGAGACACTCGCCAGGTCTCAGGGCCCAGGCTCCAGCTAAAATTTGATAGCCCCGCAGCCCAAGCCCCACGCGCACGAGTCAACTGACCCAGCCTCTGAGACTTGGTGCCACTGGGTTTTTTTAATTGCAGTGTAGAAGTATGCATAAAATCACAGAAATGTAGGACTACAAAAGACCTTGAGAGATCACCTAGCCCAGCCCCCTGCAATGAGGCAGGACCAAATAAACCTAGACCTTGTACCCCTAGTCTTGTCGCCATATAGACAGTATGCTTTTCAATTGACAGCCTGTCATAGACCGTACACTGATACAACACCCAATACAATGGGGCCCCGATGCTGATAGGGCGTCTCTGGGCACTACTGTAATACAAATAGTAAATAATAAAGGTTAAGAGATAGGTATTTGAGCCTGTGGGTTTTGCCATCTTGAACGTCACTGTTCTTGGAAAGCAGCCCTTCCCTAAATAGCATTACAGCACTAAGCAACAGTGATCCAAGAGTGGCATAAAAATGGAGGTTAGCATAGCTGAGGGCATGTACTAGTAGAGTAACTGAGCAGGTCCCCAACACTCACCAGATCACATCAGATGTGCCATTCTTAGCTCCTCCAAATGATGCTGCGGAGTGGCAAATATATAATATGAATGAAGAGGGAGAGGAGAGAACAGCTGGACAACTTATTACTAGTCCTAAACAAGAGCAGCTTCAAGTATAGACTAGATGCTGCAGGTGGCTAGCTAGGGTGCTCCATTTTACCAGGAAGGGCTGCGTTGATACAGAGTAGTTGCAGTGCAGGCAACAATCCTAAAGCATGAGCTGCACAAGGCCAGATAGCCAGAAAACACATTTCCTACCCTAGGAAAGAGCAGAGGAAAAAAAGTGGGAGGGGTTAGGTGGGCAAATAAAGAGAGGTGGAGAAATCAGGAGAAAGAAAAAGGTAAGGATCCCAGGGAAAGGAAGAGAGATGAGAGGCAACTAGGGAAAAGGAAAAAGATCTGGGGGACCCAGGGAAAAGAGATGGGGAATTTTCCATATTGTTTATTCAGGTTGGGAAGAGGAAACTAAAGATTATTATTGATCTAGGGCCCCAATTCAGCACTTACACACATTCTTAACTCTGATTGAAGTCAAGTTAATGGGTGCTCACATGCATGGCTGAGCAGGGCTGGCCTTAAGCACATGCTTAAAGTTGAGCATAGGCTCAAAGATAAAATATAAGGTGCCGATACACCAGCCTTAGTCTCACACACACAGTCAAATTCAGCCCTGATGTTAGCAAGCACAACACGTTTGCTCTCATTCATGTCAAAAAGTGGTCCATACCAATATCCAATACCTAGACATGTTTCTTTGGAAGGACGCACTCTATTTCCATGCAGAGCTGCTCTGAATATCCAATCAACAGTATTTGTCTCTTAGTCTACAGGAAAATATACTTTACATGCTATGTTAAGAGACTACAGAAAACATTCTATCTTATGACTTCTAGTGTCATGTTCCCCAATACACATGCCCTGCCTGTCGTAGCAAGTTTACCTGTGAAATCAATATGAATATTAAAAACTCATAAGAGTTTCTAATATTGTAATATAATCAGATTCTATGTAGGTTTGGTAAAAGTATTATTTTCTCTCAGGATATGATGAAAAAAAATCTACTGGGCAATACAAAACAGGCTGAATGCTTCCAAGTGGGGTTTGAAAAAACATCAAATCTATTCACATCCCTTCTGAATCACGCTCTTTTCAGCATCATTTAGTCCAAAAAATTGGGTGGTCCTGAGTAAGTTGGTTAGAAAAAATGTTTTAAAATACTAAACTGCAAATGTTAATAACTTCTATTCCAGTGCGGGGGATGATTCGCCAGTGTCTTTGGCAATAGTTCAAACTAGCATAAAAGACCAGGGATTGTATTATTGCTGCTTGAAGAATGTTTATGGAAAGGTGACTGCTGAATTTAACCTGAACTCTGAAGGTAAATCCCAGCACACTGGCTTTTAAATTATAAGAACAACGACCAACACCATTTGAATTCTGCGTCAGTACAGTGTCTCTTTCCTTTTGTTCCCTTGCAGTATTGAAACATCTTTCAAGTTATCAGGATATTGAAGGTAAATACATTCATTGTTTGTTTCGAATACCTGCCCTTACTAATTGGCACACTTTTGTCAATAAAATATAAATAAAAATCAACAATAAATGTGTAAGTATAGATGTTAATAGGCTCCTGAAGGTAAAGGACCAGGTTTGTTAGTTCTTTGCATTGCTCTGGTGATGCAAAACAGCTGTATAATGAAAACCAGATAGTTAAACCAAGCTGACAGCTGCTTTGCATCATCAAAGTGGGCTGATGGTTTCAGTGAATCTGGCCCAACGTATTTCATTTCTCTTAATGTGAAAATAAATGATGAGCAAAGTTGCCACTTTAATGATGGTCCCAGAGATGAACTTATGGAAAGAATTTTCAAACAAGATCCCAAAAAAACATGAACAAAAATGTACATATTTACGTGCACAATTGCAGTGGTTTCATATGTAAATCAAATTGCACTTGCAAATGGTAAATTAGGTGCCTGAACAGCTGTGTTCAGGTCAGATCACCCACTTTGCACATGCAGTAATGATTCTTACAGTTCTCCCTCCCTTGATCAGAGGAATGAACTGTTGTGTGTGATGCTGGCTGTTCTAGAATTAGGAATAGAATCATTCTTCGCAACACATCTTTTCAGTGAGGAAGTTATGTCTTTTAAATTGTCTCAGGGGAAATGAGTGCATCCACAAAAGCCGGCACTCATCTTTTGCATACCAAAACACATCCATTTACACACACAAGTCAAAAGATACATAGTAGGAAAAACCCAACATTTTTAAAAATACAAACCTTGTTTGGGATACTAACAGTCAGATTTACAATTTCTATAGAATTATAGAAATGTTGGGCTGGAAGGGATCTCGAGGAGTTACCAAGTACAGCTCCCTGCACTGAGCCAGGACCAAATAAACCTAGACCATTGTCTAACCTGTTCTTAAAAACCCTGACAGACGATTGTCTAACCTGTTCTTAAAAACCTCCACTGATGGGTTTTGCTCAACCTCCTTTCATAGGCACCGACTCCGTGGGTGCTCCGGGGCTGCAGCACCCATGGGGGAAAATTAGTGGGTGCTCTGCACCCACCGGCAACCCAGCTCCCCTCACCCCCCGCCCCGCCCCTCCTCCTCCTCCTCTTCCCCCTCCCCCTGAACACGCCGCGTCGCCGCTCCTCCACCTACCTCCCAGCGCTTCCCGCCCGGCTGCTGCCAAACAGCTGTTTTGCGGCATAGCAAGCTCTGGGAGGGAGGGGGAGGAGCGAGAACATGGCGCACTCAGTGGAGGAGGTGGGGCCGGGACGGGGATTTGGGGAAGGAGTTGGAATAGGGGCAGGGTGGGGGTGGAGTTGGGGTGGGGACTTTGGGGAAGGAGTTGAAATGGGGGCGGGGCAGGAGTGGGAGGGGTGGGGCAGGGGCGGGGCCTCATGGAAGGGGTAGAGGTTGGGGGGGGGGACGGTGGCAGAGGGGGCGTCGAGCATCCACTGGCGGGAGCAGAAATTGGCATCTATGCCTCCCTTGGAAGTCTATTCCAGAATTTAACCACCCGTATCGTTAGAATTTTTTTCCTAATATCTAATTGAACTCTCTCATCCTGCAAATGAAGCCCATTACTTCTTGTTCTAACTTCAGTGTACAATGAAAACAATTGCTCCTCATCCCCTTTATAAAAAGCCTTAACATATTTGAGGACTGTTATCAGGTCACCCCTTCAGACAGGGGTGAAAGTAACTTAATGGACTTACCGGTATGCAGGGCAGCCGGGTCCTGGGCAAGGTGTGTGGGGGCGCTCTGGGCCCCTAGAAGGGGCAGAGCCTCAGGCAGAAGGGGCGGGATTGTGGCCAGACTCCCCGAGCCAGCCCTTCAGTGCTGCGCCAATCCAGGTTCCGGTAGCGATTTAAAGGGCCAGGGTCTCGGCCACTGCTGCAGTAGCTGCCCCTTTCCCCTGCCCCTCCCTATCAGCAGCCCTACCTGTATGGTCAACTATGTACCAGTAGCCACTTTCTTACTGGTATGCCATACTGGACCGTACAGGCTTACTTTCACCTCTGCCCTCAGACTTCTTTTCCCAAGACTAAACATGCTCATTTTTTAAATCTTTCTTCATTGGTCAGGCTTTCTAAAGCTTTGATCATTTTTATTGCTTTCCTCTGGATTCCCCCCAATTTGTCCATATCTTTCCTAAAGTGTGGCACCCAAAACTGGACACAATACTCAGCGGAGGCCTCACCAGTTCGAAGTAGAATGAGACAATTACCTCCCACATACGACACTCCTGTTAATACATCTCAGAATGTTATTAGCCTTTTTCACAACTGCATCACACTGTTGACTCATGTTAAATTTATGATCCACTATACACCCCAGATCCTTTTCAGCAGTACTACCACCTAGTCAGTTATTTCCCATTTTGTACTTCTATTTGTGCATTTGATTTTTCTTCCTAAGTGAAGTCCTTTGCACTTGTCTTTTTTGAATATCATCTTGATTTCAGACCAAATTGTCCAATTTGTCAAGGTCATTTGAATTTTAATGCTGTCCTCCAAAGTGCTCCCCACTTGGTGTCATCTGCAAATATTATAAGCTTATTCCCCACTCCATTATCCAAGTCACTAATGAAAATATTGAATAGTACCAAACCCAGGACAGACCACTGCAGGACCCCTTTAGATATGTCCTCCCAGTTTGACAGTGAACCATTGAACACTACTTTTTAGTACGGTTTTTCAACCAGTTGTGGCTTAGATGAAATTACCAGTACTATGTTTCCCTAGTGTGCTTATGAGAATGTCATGTGGGACTGTGTCAAAAACCTTACTAAAATCATGATATATCATGTCAACAGCTTCTCCCTATCCACTAGACCAGTAACCTTAAGGCAGTAATTCTGGATGATTACCTAATCATACAGCAAAATCATCATCATATATATTGTCAATCTGTATTGGAAAGTCACGCAGCTTGATTTTCAAAAACTCTGATTAACAGTGGTGGGGGGTTTTGATCACATAGGCGCATATTCTAAGCCAACATTCACAATGCATCACATATCTTGGTGAATGCACTTATCACTAAAATTCAGGTCTGGAGTTTAAACACTCTGATATTCGGGAGCATCTGAGCAGAGGATTTAGCCCATTTGACCCATTTTATAGCTAGGGCCAGTTACAACAGTCAGATCTGGTTTGGGATTTTGAATTTTTCCAAACTTCAGAGGTGTTCAGCTCCAGAGTGGTGGCTTCGGTACTAATGGTTATGTATCTGTAGGTCTGATTGTTCTCCTTAACCTCTGAGGATAGGACAAGAAGCAATGGGCTTTAATTGCAGCCAGAGTGGTTTAGATTGGACATTAGGAAAAACTTTCTAACTGTCAGGGTGATTAACCACTGGAATAAATTGCCTAGGGAGGTTGTGGAATCTCCATCATTGGAGATTTTTAAGAGCAGGTTAAATAAATACCTGTCAGGGATGATCTGAATAATACTTAGTCCTGCCATGAATGTAGGGTACTGGACTAGATGATCTCTCAAGTCCCTTCCAGTCCTATGATATGATAGTGTTTCCAAGGTGCAGCCTGAGACACACCACTCATCAGAGATTAAATTAGCTTTGACCCTGAATCCTCTTTCATTATACCATTAATACATGATAAATCATCTTTTCCTCTTGCACCAGAAATGCCTTCAGACCTTATAGATCAGTCATCAGTGCAATATTTCTTTGACTGTTCTTTCCCATTATGCGTTGCCCCTTGCTGTCCCAATAAAGGCAAAATTCCCCTTAAAGCTAATGGGAGTTTGCAGAATTGTGCCTTTTATGGAATTCCTGTAGTATAAAACAGGTTGAGTTAAATGGACAGATACTTTCGATGCATTTGGTGCACTGTCACTTCACACACAGTAACTAGTGAGATACCACCGCAACATGTCACAGTAATAAAGAAGGAGAAAAAAAAAGAGGAGCAATAAGATATTCTGGCATAAAATCTTCCAGTGCTATTTGAACACATGGTATTTGCAAGTTGTCTGCTGTGTAACTTTACCCAAGGAGAAGGGCAAGGATGGAGATCTGGAATATTTTCCCCATGTGTTATCTTTTATTTAATCAGACCGGCACATCTTGCAATGCATGTGCTAAAGATAGACAACGCTTTGCAAATTGGTTTATCATTTCTGAACATACTGTACTAGTCAACTACTTCATTCAGATGGTTGATTTTTTTCTTGTTTCTCTTTGTGGAGTAGAATTAATCATTCACTTCCTCTTTAAAACAAATGGAGGGCTTTTCATCTAGCAATGCTGTATAACTTGATAAAAGAACTATAATTGGAGATAAGGAGCCCTTTTATTAGAGCACTGTATATAGACATACACTGTTCATTCTTTGCTTCAAAGGGAGTCAAAGGTTTACAGATCTAAATTGGAGATAGTCACTTTTGCAAGCAGAAAGACTTTGGACTGCACCACTTAGGGCTTTAGGTTTTCTTCTCTCACTTTTCATTAACACAGGAGAAGTTGTATGTACATAGAGAGATGAAAGTAGTCCTCACTCTATGTAACTCTGCATCAGGGTGACCAGATAGCAAGTGTGAAAAATTGGGATACTTTTTTTTCCCCCCCCATGGGGCAGGGAGTATAGTTGCCTATATAAGACAAAGCCCCTAATATCGGGACATCTGGTCACCCCACTCTGGAGATCTGAAACGCAGGTAGAATTTTTAGTTCATTTTCCTCTACAATCTTGCCCTTTTCCCCACTCCAGTTTTTTCTTTTACTCTTTTTGTATTTTCCTGCTTCTTCTTCCTCTGATATTTTGGCTGTATTTTCTTGGTAACATTATTCCACACATTTCGAAATTGAAGTCAGTAATTCCGCAGTTTTATTCAGTTTTAACAAACTTAAGCAGATGTTTGTCATCTCAGTGCAACCTATAAAATCCACAGGTGACAGTTCGAGAAATCATGGTTCAAATTTATGCCTAGTTTCACCCCCACTGAAATCAATGCAGTTACTCCACAGATGAATGTGACACAATATTTTATGGAGAACCTGAGTCTACACAAAACCACCTGTGGAATAAAAGTCATAGAATCATAGAACTGGAGGACTGGAAAGGACTCGATAGGTCATCAAGTCCAGTCCCTGCACTGAGGCATGACTAAATATTACCTAGACCATCCCTCCTGGTCCTCCTATTATCTTCTCTCCTTTCTAATCAATCTTTAACCTAGTGCTTACTGTTTTAAAACACAAGTATTCAAGATACAAGATTTAGCATGTAATTCTGCAGCTCTGGGACTGATCTGAAAAATGTTATTGATGCTATTATTATTATGTATATTATGGTAGTACCTGGTCCAGATTGGGACCTCCTTGAACCAGGTCTCTGTACAAGCACACAGGTAAACACGGTTTCTGCACTGAAGAAATCTGAAATCTAAAGTTAATTTTTAAACATTGTTTTTCAAATTGTAAAATAAGCTAAAGCAGAATTGACAACACACTCACAGGCTTTTCTAAAAAGATTAGGCCTGATTTCCAGGGAGGTTAGGTGTGCAATCACACATGCAAATAGAGCACACCCTAGCTGTGTGTGTATTTTGTAGACTCAATGGCCCAACTTTCCTGCCTTCTCACGGGAACAAAAAATTTGAAGCAAATCACTGCCACCACCAACTTCAGGTTCTCAAGCAGCTGTAGTGGCTTCACTTACATTTGAGGATCCAGTTCAAAATTGCCCTGGTTGTTTTTAAAATCCATTGTGGATTTGCTCCAGCCTACCTCATGGACCCTGTAGCTCTCTATTTCCCTCTCTACTCCATCAATGAGACTCCCTCTCTGTCCCTCCACAGTGTTTCGGCATTCTCTTCAGCAGTCTTTCCCCATCAGAACAGCCTTCTTTCCACCTCTTTCCCCTATTCTTTTCCTTTCACTCTTAACAGTCTCTTTCTTTGCAATTTACTGTGTATATGGAAAGATGCTGTACAGAACACAGTTTCATTGTGGTTTAGGTTTGGAAGAGATTGAATTCATTCAGCTCATGTTCAGAGAAGACTTCATCAGTGATAGCTATTTTGGTGGCAACCTGCATGGAAGAATTGCAACGGAAGAGTTACACTTTGGTGAAGGGGTGCACCGGAAAGCATTTCGAAGTAAAGTGATGCAAGGCCTAGTGCCTATATTCAGCCCCGGTCATCCCTGTGTTCTTAAAGTGCACACTGCTATTTCATACGGGACCAAAACCAAAGATGAACTTGTTCAGAAGAACTACAAACTGGCAATGCAGGTAAACTCCATTTTCCTCCATAAACAAACATTGTGGGAATAGTTGGCTTTGAAATTTTCAAACAGCTGGCTGTGTTAAATGTTTTCAGTAACGCTGCATTGGCATTCCTGTTTGTAATATAGGAATGCTATGTTCAAAATACCGCAAGAGAGTATGCCAAGATATACGCAGCAGAAGCAGAATCTTTGGAAGGCTTTGGAGAAGTGCCAGAGTGAGTATGTATATTATTCTGAGCTACACTGGCCATCTGGCTCCTGGAAAATATTGCTGGGGAAGAAAAAACAGGCATGCTGAGAACATATGGGGTACCACTGCAGTCATATCTTAGATCATACTTGGTAACGATGAAATGGTAAGAATGATTCTGTCTTCCAATTATAGAGAAAAAAAGTAAAATCCAGTGAGTAGTGGAGATTCAGAAGCAAAGGGCCTAATTCTGATCTCACTTACACTGATGCAAAGAGTAATCCATATATGTTAGTGCAAGTACACCAGTGTAAACCCAGCGGGAGACGAGAGTCAGACCCCAAAGCTTTCAATTAAAAATAAAACCTAGCAAAAAAACCGTAGAATTTCTGAAAGCTGGTACTAAGTCTCTTCTGTTTAGGCAAGTCACTTGAGCCCATCTGTGCTTAAGCCACAAAGTTTAGCTCTGGTTCTGGACTCTTCCCATGTTTGGGATGTTCATATTGAAGGATTGTCCCAGTGTAGAGAGCGGGTTTGTCTATGTGTGGAGATCAGATTAGTAATTTTAGTACAGACCCGTCACTGCACCTCAGGTTGGGAAGTGACACCTCGTGAATTTTGCAACAGATATCTCAGATCTTTTTCAAAGGATTTGCTGTTCCTGTGTATGGCTACCATATATAGTCAGATGCCCTAAGGATGGTTGAAATTCCACCTGTCCATGACTCACCTCAAGGATAAATCTCACATGCCTGTGAGCAGCCTAAGTCTCCATCTCCTTCTAGAGGACATAAGATATCTGCTTCAGCTGCATCTGAATCACTGAAAAAGATTAGAGTGGATGAGTTAACTATTTTCCCAGTAGTCTCTCTATATAGAGTGAAAGATGATTCTATTTGGATCCCAATCAGGAAAACAGTGAAATAAAACAGCTATATGCTGACCCAAAGTGAGTTGAACATTAAGCTAAGCCCTGGCTTTATCCAAAACAGCAGGTGGTTTTGGTATCCACACCACCTCTTTCCATCTTTACTGATTAGAATAATTTATATACATGCCATTCATGGTGGCAGCTATTTCATACAGCACCAGAAGGAAAGAGGAAGGCTGGACTGCTTCCATTTGGTTACTCTGTATGCAGTATGCGTGCTCAGCCTGACTGGTTTTTATTTTCTCCATAGCTCTGAGATAAAAGCAGGCAACGCTGCACCACTGAGTTTTAGGGGGGAAAGCACAGCAAAGAAAGGGGTTCTCAAATGAGTGTAAAGGGACCTACATGCCCGAGACTGCATTTAAGAGGATTTTTCGGTGGGACCTTTTAAAACCATGCAGTAAGGAAGGGCTATAAGTCTTGCGGCGTTTACTGCAAGCTGCTGCTACTACTACATTGGTGCCTATAAAGAATTTTCCAAATGAGCTCTGTTGATACCACACAAAATGCAGACTCTGGAATGCTTTGCTAAAGCAACTTGTTCAGTACCACATGCTTTCCTTAAAGGCAAATACCATTCCTGGCAGCACCCCTGTAAAGGGAATGAGAGGTTTTACCAAGTGAGAGAAAGATCCTCCTCCTCCAGAACTGCAATCTTTACATCCTGAGCTTCTAGTGAGGACACCATTGTATCAGTATAAAAGGGTATAGTGTTCCCGAATGGCAAAGGGAATAACTGGACAGGTGTCAGGCCCCTTTATACCAGCATTCGTGCTCCACACTAGGGCTTTTACCCATTTAAATACATTGGTTAAAATAAAAATAAAAACCACACCCATAAACCAAATAGTTATACCAGTAAAAATGAAGTGTAGACCAGGCCTGAAAGAGCAGTAAGGAAGAGTTCTCCAGGTCCGTGCCCATCTGCTTTTACCCATTTAAATACATTGGTTAAAATAAAAATAAAAACCACACCCATAAACCAAATAGTTATACCAGTAAAAATGAAGTGTAGACCAGGCCTGAAAGAGCAGTAAGGAAGAGTTCTCCAGGTCCGTGCCCATCTGCTCTATCTCCAAGCCATCTCAGGCCTCCGTATCCCATCAGTTATATGGGCAACACTCCAATTCATTTCAATATGAGCTGTGTGTACCCAAATTATGCTGGGAATCAGGCCCCTTGAACACTGCCATTTCCAGAAGTACTGGACTTCTCCTTGAGAGTTATACTTCTGGGTGTGACCACCACCATTTTGGCAATATCGATTTAAGGGATGATGCTGGATGCAGGAAGGCATGTGACTGGAGAGGAGCACACTTCCCTGGGGTTTGCCATAACTTCCTGTAAAGCAGTGACTATTGCTCCATATATTGGTTATCACAGGCACTGCCTGGAGATCTTGTGAGCTGTATAATAAAATATGGCGATGTCTTGTGATAAACTCCATTTGATTTCAAAATAGCATTATCATCATGAGATACTGGAGCCTGATTCTGTGCTTACTAGCATCAGTGTCATTCACCACTGACATCAGTGGAGTTACTCTTAGGGTTTCTCCTGCCACCCTTCACTGTACTAGCAGGCAGGGCTTGCAATCGCAGTTTTTTTTCCCCTGCTTGGGGTGGCAAAGATGCTAGAGCTGACCCTGGTAGCAGGGCACTCCTCCGGAGCACTCCTGTGTCACTCCAGTGTAAACAGAATCAGGCGCATTGTGAGGTTTCAATGCACTTCTCAGAAGCCGAGATGCAGCAGCAGCAATGAATTCTGGTAACCAAGAGGTTCATGTTGGCAGTGAGATAAGTAGTTTCTAGAATCCTCAACAGATTCAAGTATGTGCTAGCTAGACGTGCTAAGCTCATCAGTTTCACTTTATGTTCACTGGTCTTTGAGAAGACCTCATAACTCAAAGCAAAACTTCCACAGTTTGTCTGGATTTGGACTGCAACCAGTTTCATATCTATTCCATCCCTAACCATAAATGAACCTAAGGTCTGGCAAACCCAGCCCACGTTCATGGAAGGCTTTGCAAACCTTTTGGCAAAATTAGCTCAAGTTTTGAGTTGGAAAACTAAGTGAGTTTTGCCTGGTTTTGAATTTCCATGTGAAATTTCACCTGGAGTCAGCTGAGGAGTTCTGAACTAGACACAAACATCACCAGAGTTCAGGGATTTTCAGCTCCAAGGCTTTGGCTTGAGCCAGTCTGTACTAAGAATCTAATGATCCCTCTAAAAAAAAGTTATTACATTTCCTCCTCTTGTTGTCTGGCAAAAGAGTTGTTTTGATCTGAATTTTCAGAAGTGCTAACTAACTTTGGATGCCTCTGGCTTTAGGTGCACAAATTGAGAAACCCAAGAAGTGCCTACTGAAATGCATCAACACTGATCACAGATAACATTGCCATGGAAGCCACTGGAGGATAAAAGGACTCAGCACCTTTAAAAATCAGGCCTTCTGTTGTCAAAAAGGCACCATAAAAACAATGCACCCAAAAATTAGTGAACACTTTTTAAAATGTAGGCCTTCATTTTCAGAATGTACAAGGACAGCATTAGCAATTATGCTTTGAAAACTTAATGCAGAAGGGTTTAGATTTGACCCAGTAAATGAAACAGAACTTACATCATTTGTAGATCACTGCACAATAGAAGGATCTAATTCCTATCAAAATGTTTCCTACTATCAAACTTGACTCAGCCCTAGTATCTTTTCTACTGACTGTCTGAAACTGCATGTTCCTGGACAAAAAGTCTCTCTCTTACACGTTCCCTGACTGAGATCATTAAAGTTTATTGGGTTCGATTTCAGGATCATTCCTATTTTCCTTGTTCATCGTCCTGAGAATAATGTCCCTTATGCAACCGTGGAAGAGGAACTGATTGGAGAATTTGTGAAATATTCTGTCCGGGATGGCAAGGAAATAAATTTCATGAGAAAAGACTCAGAAGCTGGTCAGAAGTGTTGCACCTTTCAGCACTGGCTGTATGAGAAAACCAATGGAAATTTGCTTGTTACAGATTTTCAAGGTGAGAGTTCTGATCCTTGTGACAGTATGTGACAATTCTGCCATGCTATCACCCTGACACCCAATCACTCAGTATCCCAGTGACTGGACAGACTTTCATAGTACGTGTATGGAGTCAGTGGCAGTGAGCCTCTCTGCCTGGGCTGACAGATTTGGGGTGGGGCTTTGTGCTAGCTACAAAATCTGCACTGAAGTTACAACTTGGGCAGCAGCTCAGACTCTGAAGCCTAGGGAGGAGGGTAGTGCACTTGAAAGCGCTGTCTACAAAGCTATTTTTAGAGCGCTAGCATGAGTCTCGGCAACCCTTGTCTGTCGCCCCAGGCCAGGAATCTCACGGTCACAGGCTGTGTAGATATGCCTTCAGAGCCTCATTCCAGCACAATTCTATTCTTTGCTGTTTTCAACATATTGAAGTTGCTGAGCATGGTCATGTAACGCCGACTGACCGCAGTCATCGGCAGCCAGGATCAAACCTGGGAGCTCACTTACCACATGATCCTCTACTGCATGAGCTAAAAGACACATGTCTCTTAGCCAAGGCTGTAGAAGGCTCATCAATCTCTAGCTAGTCTAGCCGCCACTAGAAAGGGACAGAGTGCCACACCAAGCAGGCAAGGGTTACTCTCACTCGCTAACCGTATCACATAAAACTACTTCCCCTGGATGGAAACCAGAGAGATTCCTGTTGAACAGCTCATGTCCAGTGCCCTGGCTGCACACCTGCCAGCACACTTACTGTCTCTCTCTTGAGTAATTTAATTCCTTTTGTGGCTCTAGTATTTAATTCTTGACCTTTTATCCCCACACTCAGAATCTGAATCCTTCCCACGCCATCAGACATTACCTGCGGTACCCACAAGGCTCCGCCATCCATGTCTATCATGCTGTTTGACAGAATGGTTCTCCTGTTGTGTTTCTATAACTCAGCTCTTTTACAAGGATAGGTTGTTGGCCTATCGCTCAGCCAGTGGGCTGCTTTTTGTCTAGTCCCTACCCTTTTTGTCTGTTGGATAGTCCTAACAGGAGTTAAAACTCCCGCCATCACAGCTCTCAGTGTCATTGGAACATAGAAGCCACCCATGGCATCAAGCATAGTCTCCTGTAAAGGACAGTATTATTACTAGGCATTATAACCCAGACTAGGAGTTGCAGGTGCTCCATATCTCTGAATACCAGGCCACATGTTTAGGTGTCTAAATATGGATTTAAATGCCAGTCTTCAGGCACCGAAGTTGGAACATTTTGTCTTGAGCCTTTATTTCAGAAACACAACATAAGCAGTGTGACCCAGTGTGCCTTAAAATGCCAACATCAGGGCAGGCTGCAAAAGGGAGAGCAGATAACCACCAGTTTTGGGAGTAACACTGAAGTTAAACTCACCAACCAGTCACAAACTGTGCTTCTGATCCCCCACACTGGTTATCAAGAAGCTGAAAAAAGAAATCACACAGCCTCCTTTATTGCATTCCAGTTCTCTGGCTCCCAATCAGCTCATAGGTCCAGTACAGTGAGAAGTTATTTAAAAACTTTGCTCACTATATAAAATGTTCTTCTGACCCCAAAAGGCCAGCCACATTACCAGTTCAATATTAGTTTGGATCTTACCCAAAATACCACACTGACAGCCAATCCTTTAGCATCTAAAACTAAAGGTTTATTATAAAAAGGAAGAAAGAACAAGAAGAGAGTTGTTAAATGATAAAGCACCCAGATACATACAAAGACCTCAGCATCCATGTATCAGGTTCTTAGCAGTACTGGTGAGTTTGCCGGCTTGAAAGTCCCTCTGGAATACATCCACAGCATGGATGAGTCATTTAGTCCTTTGTTCAGAGCTTCAGTTTGTAGAAAAGTTACTCCAGAGGTAAGAAGCAGGAATGAAGACAAATAGAGATGATGCAGCTGCCTTTTACATTCTTTTTACCATGCACCTTGTACTTCCTTTGTACCAAACACAAGCTTCACAGCACATGGTATGGAAAAGCCTTAGAGTTCTAGGCATGCCCCTACATGCTGTGCGGACTCATCAGGTGTATTCTCTGGTTCCTTTCAATGGGTTCATTGTACAGTTGATGACCCTTGATGGGCCATTGAACAGGCTAGGCAGTGCTGATGACAATCTGTCTGGGGGTGTCACCCAGATGCACAGCACAAGTTTGGAAATACAGATATACCCGACATATCTATAACTCACAATAGAAAGGTGATACAAACATATAAATAAGATTATCATACTTGGGAAATCATAACGTTTTCACAGCTACCTTACACGGCATATCTAGCACGATTCATTGCAATTTTATAACATTGGTATTAATAATAATAATAATATAAAGTGTGTCACAATTCCATAGAGCATCACATGTGGCATGTCACTAACAGCTCAAAGGCATTAGCTGCCTTAGGTCATGTCTACACGAGCAAGCTTACAGCAGCACAGCCTATGCAGCTGTAAGATCACTCGTGTAGCCGCTCTGCACTGATGGGAGATAGCTCTCCTGTCAACATAATAAAATCACTTCAATGAGTGGCTGTAGCTATGTCGGCGGGAGAACCTCTCCTGCCAACATAATGCTGTGCACATGAGTACTTATGCCAGGGAAGCTTATGTCTCTCAGGAGGGTATTTTTTTCATACCCTTGAGCGACATAAGTTTTGCTGGCATAAGTGGTAGTCTAGACACGGCCTTAGAGCCTGACATATGCCCACTGAAGTGAAAAGGAGCTTTGTAATGGTTGTAAGAGAAGGAATTTAGGGCATGAGAAACCCTTTGAGCACACACAACCCATCCATTCAGTTGGCTGTACATTATCTAACAGCAGGAGGACAAAAGGGGCAATCTGTCCCATACAGGTATTAATGATGGTATTAGAAACCATGGGTTGAAATAGCATGAAGCCTATTGCACCACTTAAACATTAATATAGGGATAAAATTCAGATTAAAATGGTGTAGTCTTTGTGTCGGTTGTCTACGTGAGGAGGAATTTCACCTTCAATAATTTGTCCTAGGCTACAGACTGAGGGCCATTTTCAGCTCTCAGTTACGCTGATGTCGGTGGGACTGACAGAGTGTAACACACAGCAGGATCTGATGCCCCAAAACAGCATATGTTTTGACAAGTGAGTTCTGAATGGCCCCATGATGTGTTTCGATGGCTGTGCTCTCAACAAGCTAAAATAGTTTCCTAGTTGGAGCTTTAAGTTGGGTCTCTTGGAAGGGAGCTTGTTCTCTGCAGGGCCAGCTCCAGCTTTTTTGCCTCCCCAAGCGGCGAAGCAAAAAAAAAAGAAATAAATAAATAAAGCCGACCTTCGGCGGCAGCTCAATCATGCTGCTCCATTCTTCAGTGGCAATTTGGCAGCAAGTCCTTCGCTCCCTCTCTTCCTCTTTGGTGGCACTTCGGCGGCAGCTCAAAGAGAAAGAGAGGGACTGAGGGACCCGCCGCCAAAGACCCGGATGTGCCGCCCCTTTCCATTGGCCGCCCCAAGCACCTGCTTCCTTCACTAGTGCCTGGAGCCGGCCCTGGTTCTCTGGAACCCTAGGCAGCACTTCTCCTCACTCCACCAACTGTTTGGCTTGTGTTATACTCTCTCCAGCCCGTTCTGGACATATGGTACTCTCATCTGAGTCTAACTGTGTCATTCCTGACTTGCTCCCGCTGCTGTGCTAAGCCTGCTGCCCTTGCAATGCTCCTGGTCCTTTCTGGCCTTGGTAGTGAGAGACTGGAATCAGGAATCACACCTGAGCCTCTTATGCAAACCAGGAAGTCACATGGCTCCAGCTTCCAATGAATTTGTTTGTACAATGCCTTGCACAATGGGGCCCTGGTTCATGACTCCTACGCTCTACTGAAGTACAAGTAAAGAACAACATTGTTCACGGGAATTAGCTAATTAGATGATACCCTGTCAGTATAAAAATATCTGTAAATTACTGTTATCAAAAACTTATTGTAACAGGCTTTTTTGCCTGAAATAACAATTCGAACTAGCATTATGCCAGAGGAACCACAGTCAAATTATTAAATAGGGACATTGGATTTTCTAAAGTATATTCTTTTTTAGTCTAATTGAAGCATTGAGACCCACCTGGTAATTAAAAAAAAATCAATACTAATTACAAGTGCCTTTGGCAAAGTGACTGGAGAACAATACAAATATGGGGTTAGAACAATTAAAATAATACACGGCCTTTTGATATGGCATCTCACATGGGAGAGAATAAAAGCTGTGCAGGGAGGTTTCTGATATTTTCTTTTCTACTCTCTAACGCCGGCCCTGTGAGCTCTGGTGCTATGTTGGCTTTCTGTGTGTGATCCACACTCACAGGAAAGAAATGAATTAGCTGCTTGCTGTGGCAAGTGCTTTAAAAAGGTTAATTGGCATCCAATCTGGGGTAGGAGAGGTTTTCACATGGCTTGTGTCTCTGTAAATAACCACTTTGGAAAGAAAAAAAAAGTCTCACGCTCTTACTAAGAGATTTCATTTTACGACAAATGCACCTTAGTAAATCAGAACATTCAATACAAGGCTGACTAATGCCTGCTTTTTACCCCACCACTCTGGGATTTATGAACTGCTTTGTGAAATAAAAGACTCTAAAAACAGCACCCTGTGCCAGCACTTTGCCTTGCCTTTAAACATCTAACATCTGTCTTTAAAACCAATGGAAAAATTCACACCCAGGCTCCTGATCACATCTGAAGGAATGACACCTCCTTATATCTAGAGAACACTGCCATGACACCATTATGCACCTCGCTCACCCGCATTGTGCAAATATTTGGCCTTTAAAGAAGTAGTCTGTGGGTTCACGAAGTTGTTGAGGGAATAAATAGAGCAACAGTCCTGGCTGGGGTTCTGCAAGGACAGGTGGAATTTTTCCACCCCCTACCCTTTCAAATTAGAAGGCTGAAAAACCCCCCAAAACAAATGCAAATGAATTAACAGGGAAAAGCCTATCGGACAAACTCCTCCTGGCCTGGTGAGTATGAGGCATGCTCGAGTCAGGAAGCAGAGCCTCTGAGTTAGCATCTGAGCCTGGGAGCTATACGCTCTATTGATTCTTACCTGCTGCTCCTAAAAAGGAGCACCGTGTATCTGCTGCTGACAGCAGCATCCTCACAAAGGGGGACCACTGGGACCCTGTCCATGCTCCAAAACTGCTGACCACATCCCCTTGGAATGGCTTGGCTGTGAATGTTGCAAGGCACATTAGCTTGGTTTCCTGCGGTGCACTTGAGGAAGTGCTAGATCTGTATCCTACCCTATACCTGCACACCTGCTCTGAGGGAGAAGGAGACTCCCTGCATCATCATCTCTCCACAGCACAAGCGCACAACACAGGGCAAGGCTTTGCCCACCCATGGCTAGTAAAACAAAAGTGGGGGTAAAAGTGGTAAGCGCTTTTTGGAAACACTGAGTGAAGAGTTTAATTTAGTACCTGTTGGTCACCCAAAAAACTAAACAGAGAGCAAAGATTATTGGGCCATGCTGCTGATATGCAAAGTGGGTTCCCCATTAGAATACACTGTAGCCCACTCCACCCCCACTTGCAAACATCCAAATCCCAAAACTTAGGAACAATAAATGACCCTTATGCATCTCTTTGCAGATGTAAATGTTCTGATGCTGGATTTAGATGTCCCTTTAAGATGCCACAGTTAAAGTGAGGCTCTCAGTTACCCTCCAGCATAGGAAACATTCCTGAACCTTAGAGCTCCATTTATCACCTTGTTTGTGAATCACTGGAATGCACCTGACTGCTGCTAGTGTTGTGAACCGCACAGACCAAAAACCCTACGTTTGCGGGGAGAATGTTAAAATATTGTCACTACACAGAGAGAACTGAAACAAACGATAATCAATAAAGAATACCTAGCTGCATCTATAAGGCTATAAATCTGAAGACACTCCTAGAAAGTCTGGTATAATGCAAGCTCCCTGTTTTGTTTTTTTGTAGGTGTAGGAATGAAGTTAACCGACGTTGGCATAGCAACATTGGCCAAAGGGTGAGTGAAAGACATATTTCTCAATGGAATATATTTGCATTGTGCTTCAAACTCCTCACAGTGTAAACCTGATGGGAGTTGGTGCATTGGATGTTTATGTCTCACCATAACTTTAGGGGGAAAAACAATCCCAATGCAATTTGTGTTAACCTCCTCGCATTCATAAAATAGTAATGGGAACCTTCCTATCAAGAAAACACATTTGTTTTCCTCTTTGAAGGAAAGCGAACGTATTGGAGGTTTTGCTTTACAGAATTTCTTCATAGACACTTTATCTTGGAACAAAGAAGATGTCATTGGTATTCCTCGTAAAATAACAAATAATAATCAAGATTTTCTTTTCTATTTGTTCTTTTATCTCCAATGCAATACAAATCAATAGAATGGTCGATATTTAATATTTCAGTTCCTATCTTACCCACAATGCAAAATTATTTGAAAAATCAGGGAGAAGTGATGATTCAGAGGATGGGTAATGGGATATAGGCCTATATTTTCAAAAGTGATTTTGTGTACCCATCTTGAGATACTTTATAAGGGCTTGATTTTCAGAAGTGCTGAAGAATCGCCTTCTGAAGATCAGGCCCCTTAAGGCACCTCACTTTGAGCACCGAAAAAATGAGGCATCCAAAAATCACTTGTTCTTTTTGAAGTGTTTGGCAGCCCCAGCCTAGGTTGCTTGTTCAAGGCCAGCCCAGCCCAGCCCATAAGTGACCATTACTATCTGATGGCTATTGAATAACAGTTATGAAACACACAATGTCCCTGGAATGGAATGCATCCATACCACAACTCGCACTTGTTGGCAGAGGCCACGGATTGATGGATACTACAACAAGGTGCTCTGCCCTTTAAGTGCCAGGGGTCTGGGGCCAGCCAACCCTGTTCAGTGATCAGACCCAGCTGGGAAGGGAGCAAGTGATTGTGAAAATCAGCAAGTGGCTCAGCTGAGAGGAGCTGCAGGTGAGAGATGGGATCCTGCAGTAGACCTTGATGCAGCGGGAATGAAGAAAAGGGCACATTCTCCTTTCAGCACTGAAAGGGGCCAGGGGGAAGCCTCTGGGGGACAGAAGAACTTCCTTCTGTTTTGACATTTTTCCTAAGTTTCATGTTGAAGAATAAAATGGTTTGCTGGAAGAGATTTGAGCATGGCAGAGAGTCCTGGGCTGGGCAGAAAGGTCAGGAGCCTTCAGATACTGTCATTATTAGTTATGTGATACTAAAACTAAACATCCCTCCCACTTCTGGAAAACCGTGGCACCTTGTCTTATATATAAATACCCCTCTCTCACATTTCAGACTCTGTGTGTTAGTTATTCCTCCCACGACACATTCAGATGCCTCTTGTTTTCTCAGGCTTGACTGTGTGCTCTTGTGAGCCATGCAAGGCATGTGAGGGAGGGAGAATGTCCAATGCAGCTATATCTAGGCTAGTAACTTGATGCACAAAGGAAACGCATTTAAGGATTTGCTGACATTTATTTGATTGCAAAGCAGCCCCCCGCCCGCCTTCTCAAAGACAAAAACCTCTTGGAGCTATCAAACACTGCACAAGGCATTTAAAAGCAACCCGTCTCCAAGTGACTCTGCAATTATTTTAGACCTTCTTAAGAGACAAATATATAGAATCCCACAGCAGAAATAAAAAGCTTAGCCCATTTATGTTATAATTATTTTCCACTTCTCCCAAAGTACTACTGATTTTTAATCTGTAGAGTCATTCATTAAACTTACTGGGTATGCTATAAGATAACAGCTAAAAACACAGTCCCCTTTAATCCCTCTGTGAGGATAACCCATGTCAGGGAGTGGGAACTCTGGGTGAAATCTTGGCCCCATGAATACAGTGGGAGTTTTGCCATTGATTTCAATAAGACCAGAATTTCACCCACTGAGTTTTTATGAAGTCTTCTAGAAGGCATGGAGCAAGTTTGCTCCCTTGGGACTGTAAGTGGTCGCTCTTACCACCCTAGTACCCCTTGATGCGAAGTCATGATGTTGCAGGGGACTTCACCTCTAGTGTCCACTTCCTTAGCCCCACAATGGCCTGTCTCTGTCAAAGTCTTTTGAATTCAGTCCCTTTCCAGGGTAACAACAGTTCCAATTGTAAATCTCAATAAATCCAAATGAATAATTCTTCTGCCCTCTCAGGCTACACTGACATTCTCGGCTTCTTAGCTCCTATCCCTGAGCCCTGCAGAGCTTCTCTGTTGCTGTTTCCTCCCAGCAGGTTTTCCCCTATTGTTGTCCCCTCCCTAGGGACTCTCACAACTTCCCTCAGAGATCTCTCTGGTCATTAGAGATGACTCACAGCCCCTCCACAAGATCCTAACCTGCTGCCTGTGGGTCTCTTCCAGCCTCATTTCCTCAGACCCTTCCCATGCTCTTCCTCTCTCCTGGGAATCCTCCCCAGATTGAGTTCACAGCTCTGTTTAAGTAGTCCTCTCTCTGCTCCCTGGCATCTGAGGTGAGTCTCCATCAGCCTCAGCTGGGGATAGCTGTCTGGTCACAGGCAAGGCCAAGCCTGGGTTGCCTTAAGGGGCAGCCAGCTTGTGACAGTGGCTTAGGAGCATTCCAGAGTTGCAGGACCTTGCCTTCTGTCCTCTCTAGATTATATCATGGAGCACAGAAGCTAGGGTTACCAGATGTCCCGATTTTATAGGAACAGTCCTGATTTTTGGGTCTTTTACTTATATAGGCTCCTATTACCCTCAACCCCTGTCCTGATTTTTCACATTTGCTGTCTGGTCACCCTAACAGAAGCAGTCATACCAGGTCAGACCCATGGTCCATCAAATCCAGTATCCCATCTCAGACATTGGCAGATGCTTCACAAGAAAGTGTAAAAGCCACATAATGGACAACATAGGCAACTATCCCAGACAGTTAGTTGCTGACTCCTCTCCGGAAGCCTGGGTGCCATTATCCCTCATACACATTTACACTAGCAAATATGTCTGAGTGATATTATTATTAATATTATTCACATAAATGTCTAACCTTTATTTAAGCCCTGCTACGCCCTTTAAAACCTGCTAAGACCAGACAGCAAATATCTTGCAGACGTGAGTTCCACAGATTAACCATACATGGGGAAATCACAAATTTCCTTTTATCAGTTTTTAAATGTCATTCATCTGCTGAGATGTTTAGCAATTCCAACCCTACCAACAATAACTGCTGTGAAATTTTGCACAAGAGAGAGAGAGAGAGAACACCACTCTTTCCAATATTATTTTAACAAGCCTGTTGTTTCCTCAACTAATGCATACTATTCTTTCCTCTAACTTTGTTGTATGTGATGTCACAGTTCTGTTCCCTTGCATCTTTCTTGGGTAGATGGTTGTGACAACCACTTTACGTTATATTCTTCCTTAAGAAATCTGTATAAAATATAGAACTGATCACAGCAATAGGTACAAAGAGAAATATCCTTATTGCCTATGTGGTTCTCTATATGCCAGAGACACAGAAAAAAACAATGCTTTCCCCCCAGCCTCCTTTGTACTATCCTAGCATATTCTAGGAAAACCCTTCACATTTCTAGCTTGGCACTTTTTCAAAATTTACATTGATTTTTTTTTTCATTGGCTCCAGAGTGAAATCATTTTAATTAGTCTCTCATCATCCATCTAGAAAATAAAGAAATCAGACAAGTTTTAATTATGTTACGCTGTGCTCTGGAACCTGATGATTTATAGGAAGGCTTTAATGAATGTTATTATACAGCATACTATGGGAAATTATGCTGATGAAAACCCATCTGAGACAAAGAGACAGGTAGATGAGGTGAGACAGAGAATGTACAGTGAAATCTGAACTAAGGATCACCCCAAATAGACACTCTTTGTCTTAAGCAATTTAAATTTCTAGTGTCCTTTTGTTTGACTCATGTTATTTCTACAAGGCAACAGATTTTTTGCTGGTCCTGTATTTTCCCCACATTGTTCATCATTTACCCAGGAGGATGCCTCTGAGTTAATTTTTGCCAGATTGATTTTAAAACATGTTGGGATGTACAGGGGAAAACAAATAGGTAGAATTCATCCACATCACAGCTTAGTGCTAATGGCAATATGATGTAAACAAACAAGTGAGATAGTAAACCCAGTATGTCTGTGAGGTCTGGTCTATACTACCCGCCTGAATCGGCGGGTAGAAATCGACCTCTCGGGGATCGATTTATCG